AAATAACCCAATCCAGTCTATGGCTTTCCGTGACAGTTTACAGACCAGGGGAGGAGCTGAGCAGATGACCAATGAAGCATAAAATTGTATAAAGATTTTATACAAAATGCATTCTAAAGCACATATGCCCTACCACAATATCCAGACTTCACAAAAACATACGGAATCCTCAATTTCCTTCTGGAATAGGAGTGGTGGAAAGGGGAAGCAAAGAGTAAGGTGGGGGAAGAGATTCATCGGGTCCATCTGGTCCATCAAACTAAAAGCAGGTGGTGAGACAGATGTCGATGAAGTCCATAATTCTGAGTATTTTAATCTTAACGCATTTGGCTAGGTTATGCATGTTGTATAGTACTGCAGCCATGGGTTTGTTTGCCACTTCTGGATTGATGGATGTTAAGAATGCTATAACATTAAACGAAACTATAATTTCATCTTCTATTTTTGGTCTTTGAATTTCTGGAGGCATTGAAGTGGGGAGTTGATAGAATTTCTGAGATTTCCAAGCATTTTTTAAAAAGTTATTTCACTTATATTTGGCTTACAAATTCCTGGAAATTCAAATCCGTGATAGATTACTCAGAACTCCACATGTCAGTATTCCTTTAGAATACTTATCTTAGGGTATTAAATAAAAATTGGCTTCCCATCCCTATCTTTTCTGTCAATTTCAGAAGTGAAAAGAGTGATTAAAATACAATTTAGATCCCAACAAAACCTATAGTGCAAATTGTACTAGTGGGAGATTGGCATACAACAGTAGTCATTTTCTTCAACTGAACCCATTAGTGAGACTATGTTAGACTCTGAGATTTCTCAAAACATTCTGTTTCAGCATAGTAGATAGTGGTAAAAGTCAGCAATACAGAACAGTTTTTCTATGAGCTGAAAAATGTATAGGGAGATGTATAGGAGAAATAATGCATGAGTCCATTAGAGCTGTACTGCAAAAATGTAGATATCCACTGGGTGACAGCAAAGAGACACAGAAAAAAAAACCCAAACCCGAAATGTTTACCTTGCTCTCATCTACTGAGCATGCAGTTTTTTTATGACCCAAATCTGCTATACTGAACCATGCAATAAGGAAATTAAACCAGTGGTGGCATTCTGCCGGTTCTAGGGGGTTCGGCCGAACCCTTTGTTAAATTGCTGGCTCGCCCCGCCCCTTGCCCCGCCCCTCCGCACTACTATTTATTGCCAATAAAATGGGGCAAGCGAGCCAGCAATTTAACAAACGGTTCAGTGTTTTTTTGTAATTTATTGGCCCCGCAGCACACCAAACCGTTTGTTAAATTGCTGGCTCGCCCGCCCCTTGCCCCGCCCCGCCTCCCACCTGTGCGGCGCCAGCCTACCCTAGCCAGGGGTAGGCAATTGTGGCTCTTTTACAATCTGTGGACTTCAACTTCCAGAATTCCTGAGACAGGGCTGTCTCAGGAATTCTGGGAGTTGAAGGCCACAGGTTGTAAAAGAGCCACAATTGCCCACCCCTTCCCTAGCCTGACATCCGCTGCCTGGGATCCACGTGGGCTGCCACGTGGTTCCCCACAGGCTCCGGACGCAAGAGATCAGGATGGAGAAAGCAGCTTGCCAGAGAACATGTGAACGGCTCCATGTGGTCTGCAAGTCAGTGGCTGCTGCTTCTGTCCCCTGCTGCTGCTTGCCTGGGAGAGAAAAACTTCCAGAGCATTAAACCAGCAGTTCTCAACCTGGGGGTTGAACGGCCATTTCACAGGGGTCATCAAAGCCCTCTCTCCCCCCCCACACCTTCACTCACCCTCACTCTGCTCTGTTGGATTGCCCGCCGTTCGCTTACCCCGCCCACTCCCAATCTATTGCTGCCTCCCGAGTCCCAGCTGACGGCTAGAGGAAAAAAAACTGTTTAAATTCTTGCCGCGGGGCTTCAAAGGGCCGCCCTATAGCCAGTGGTGGGATTCTGCCAGTTCTAGGAGCCGAACCGTTTGTTAAATTGCTGGCTTGCCCCGCCCCTCCGCACCACTATTTATTGCCAATAAATAGTGGTGGGCGAGGGGCGGGCGAGCCAGCAATTTAACAAATGGTTCAGTGTTTTTTTGTAATTTTATTGGCCCGCGGAGCTTCAGCATAGGCTAATTAGCCCTTGATTAGATCGGCTCCCGACTCTCAGCTGATTTGTCTCAGCTGTTTTGCTCAGGGCTCTGCTGCTTCCTTGCAAAGAGTCCTGGAGCAGATTTTTTCCCCTAGCTATGCTGAAAAACGAAACTGAAACTGCTTTGCTGTTGCTGCAAGGTTGGAAAATTAGGCAGGCAGATTTCTTTTCTTTTTCCTCACCAAAAAAGGTAGGTGCAAACAATGGGAAATTTAGGGAAAAAGAGAAGAGTTCAAGATTTTAAAACACAAAAGAAAAAAAGCTCTATTTAACTAGGGAATTGTAATAATTGAGATACTATTAATTGTATATTTCTGAAAGCAGAAATGGTTAAGTTGTGGTTTGGAGGAATATATGGGGGAAATTATTTGGTTTATTATTATTGGTAAATATAATTAATTGATTTGTAAGAAATTGGATTGCATGGAAATAATTGGAATATTCATGTTCATATTGATTAATATACAAAAAAGGTAGTTATATAACTAATTGATTTATATTAAAAAGTTGAATTTATATTAAACAACTAATATTACATAATTAACCAATGTGAGGATGGATATAAAAATAGGAAGGGGTATAATATAGAATAGAAGGGAAAAATTGAATTTGATTAAGATTAGAGATGAGGATGAAGGGTAATATTGGTTTTTTACATAAATAGATAAGGAATAAATATGGCAAAAAGGAAATATAGAAATTGTAAATTTAATTGAAATGACTAAACACTGTTTAAATTTGTGAACCGGCCAAATACTCTGTTCAAAGAAAATACATTGTATGTTTGTATGTGTGTTTCTAATTATTGTTATTTATTCATATTTGTTCTCTTTTATTCTTTAAAGTTTAACAATTCATTCTTTATCTTAATATCTTTATATTTGTTTGGGGTTGGCTTTCTTCCCTTTCATCTTTTTTATTGTACAGCAATCTTTCTCCTCAAACCTACCACCTCTCTCTTTTCTTTCCTTCTTACTTTCTCTTCCTCCCCCTCTTCTTCTCCTCCCTACTTCCTCTTCCTTTCTCCTTCTTCTCCTCTCTTCCTCCCTCTCTTACCCTCCCTCCTACTCTAATTTTCCTTCCCTTCCTTCATCCCTCTCTATTGCTGTATCCTTTTATGCATATGGACTACTCAGAGGGCTGAAAAAGTTATTTCTGACTGGTCCTTGCACTTTTGACCAGTCCTCGAACTTACGACTGTCCTCACATTTTACGTTTTTGCCCTATCTTGTCACCATGGTGAAGAGAAGCAGTTGTGAAATGAGTGACATGGTTGTTAAGAAAACTGCACGGGCATAAATGTGAGGATGGTCATAAGTGCGAGGACCGGTCAAAAGTGCGAGGCCCAGTCAGAAATGACTTTTTTCAGCCCTCTGAGTAGTCCCTATGCACATAGCCATGCCCACCCGGTCACATGAACAGCTAGCCACGCCTACACAGTCACGTGACCAGCTAGCCACGCCCACCCAGTCACATGATTGCCAAGCCACATCCCCAAGTAAGCCACGCCCACAGAACCTGTTGTTAAAAAAAATGAATCCCACCACTGAATTAAACCTATGATCACTTTCATTTTCTTAATTTCAGTGCTGTATGCGTAGATCCAATAAAAATTACTTATTCAAGCACAATGTTGCTTGTGAAAGACGGACCTTAAGAAGTAGAGAGGTCTGGAAAGACCATAGAGGTAAAGAAAACCAGTAACTAACAGAGTGTTTGAAACTGAAGTTCAAATATTTAGGCTTATTACAGGACAATTCTCACATTTCTAGTTAAACAATGGTTTCATTGCACTCCTGAATTTAGGGAACTTTAAGAAATTGTTTGTGAATTCAACTATGAAATTACACATCCTGTCTATACACCCTAGATTAATATCTACTTTTCATTCATAAAGATATAAAAATACATTTTGAAGTCTATCCTTTGACACAGAACATTTTGGAAATATATATTTTATACAGTTTTTCTTACAAACCCCAGATAGAACAGACATTACTGTGACAAAGGTATCACAGACTAAACTATTCATGCATTTCTATTTTAAAATCACATGTAGTCTGGGTGCCTATTAATATATACTTTCTCATCACATGTCTCCTTTTAATAAGACTTCAAATGTCATATATATTAGAAAGTAATGAGAAAATAATGTTGATGAAATTTGAATTCACCTGTCACTTGTCTAGAGATAAGGGGCAAAGCTCATGAGTGCTCTGGTGGATCAGAGGTTGTGGGCATAAGAATCTATTTACTGAACAGCCATTGGCTAACCTAGAATGCTAGAAACATGCCCAGTCTATCAGTAAAGGTAGTCAGAAATAAGAAGTGCTTTGTAATCATCTATCCTTGGGTGGTGAGCATTTATGCCTAATAGGCACTTAGAACAGAGTAGAATAACAGAGTTGAAAAGGACCTTGGAGATCTTCTAGTCCAACCCCTCCCCCCCTCTCAGGCAGGAAACCCTATACCATTTCAAACAAATGGTTGTCCAGTATCTTCTTCAAAACTTCCAGTGTTGAAGTATTCACAACTTCTGGAGGCAAGTTGTTTCACTGATTAATTGTTCTAACTGTCAGGAAATTTCTTCTTAGTTCTAGGTTGCTTCTCTCCTTGATTAGTTTCCACTCATTGCTTCTTGTCCTGCCTTCAGGTGCCTTGGGGAATAGCTTGACTTGACTTGACCCTTCTTTCTTCTCAACCCCTGAGATACTGGAACATTGCTATCATGTCACCCCTGGTCCTTATTTTCAATAAACTAGACATACCCAATTCCAGCAACTGGTCTTTATATGTTTTAGCCTCCAATCCCCTAATAATCTTTGTTGTTCTTCTCTGCACTCTTTCACTTCTATGCTCACTGCTCACTTACATGTGGTACAGGTGTTACCATGGTCCAATTTTCAGATTTTACGGGACTTATCCCACAAGCAGTTTCTGGAAAGTTAGAAAAAGAGAGTGTCATTAACTGTCACAGCTTCATTTTAGCAAATCTATCATGCAAAACTATCTGAAAGAAATTATTCGCATGCCCTGCTTTAAGAGAATGGGCAATGAAAATGACAACAAATGAATAGTGGATCGGAAGACTCACATGAGCAAGTGCTTTTCTCTCTGAAAAAGAGGAGATAGGAGCAGCAGAAGGATAGCATTTCTAGAGACTGTCCTTATAACAACATTAAAAGATGGATCAGAATATTCTGATTGGAGGAGGGTTGAGGCAAAATGGTTTATTTAAAACTACATGCAGTATTTAAACAGTAATGACATGCAAAGCAAAGATTTTTGATTTATTTCATTCTCTTAACCACAACACTACATTAACTTAGTAATTTCTCTCTATATAAAAGGGAAAAAGTAAAATCAACCCAGGCTATAAACAGTAATAGATACAATGGTTAAAAGTATAAAACAATTATCTTGATTCTCCATATGAGTAATTCTTAAACGGTTCTCATTACAAAGAAGCTGCTTCTGTCACTTTGGTTACAATTCTAGACACATTTACCTGGGAGAAGAACACTGAATTCAATGGAACTTGGATTCCAGAGAGTCCTATTGCCTTTATTTTAAGAAGCACAGTAGTGGGGGAAGAAGAGTTGCTGCTCTATAGAGTAAAATTGCTGAAAATATATTGGAAACTTCTAGAAGGTTGTGAAGGAGGATGAAGAATTACAAACATGAAAATGAAAGGAATACTGAAATTGAGGACAAATGGTTATTGACTACTGCAGATATCAGCTGCTCTCTTTATAGTATCTCTGGGAAGAGAATTATAGAATAGAATAGAATAGAATAGAATAGAATAGAATAGAATAGAATAGAATAGAATAGAATAGAATAGAATAGAATAGAATAGAATAGAATAGAATAGAATAGAACAGAACAGAACAGAATAACAGAGTTGGAAGGGACCTTGGAGGTCTTCTAGTCCAACCCTCTGCTTAGGCAGGAAACCCTATACCATGTCAGAGAAATGACTGCCAATCTCTCTTTAAAAACTTCCAGTCAGGAAATGTCTTAGTTCTAAGTTGCTTCTCTCCTTGATTAGTTTCCATCCATTGCTTCTGGTCCTGCCCTCAGGTGCTTTGGAGAATACCCTGTTTCCCTGAAAATAAGACATCGGGCTTTTGAGTGCATTAATAAGCCCTCCCGGAAAATATTCAAACGCAGAGCTGGAAATCAGGTAAGATGGCAAGAGGAACCATAAAAACCTTTGTTTTTATGGCTTATAGTTATCAATGTTTACTGTATTAAAAATTAAAAATGATGCATGCATGGCCATTATTGCTTCTCATGATTGTTTGATAAGTTTTTAATATTTTTAAAATAGGTGGCAAATAATTTTGATTTGCAGACCCTTGAGAAGATGTTGGGGGGCCCTCAAAGGCTCTTGGATCATACCTTGAGAAAAACTGCTTTATGACCTCTGCCCTAAGGATATGTGTTGTGTTATGTCATGTCATGTCATGACATGTCATGTCACTCTACGTCACACTACATGCCATGTTCTTGCAGGAACATTAGAAAGAAGAAAATTCTTCAGCTAATCAGTCTAGAGTTAGAATTTTATTTCTGTTCCAAGTAATCATTGTATTAGAGATGCTATATGATGCTTTCATATTATATGCCAGGGCTAATATCAAATGCAGTTTATGGCAAATGCCACACCAGATTTCTATAGCTGCCAAACCTGCTGCAGTACTCAGTTCCTCTGAGCAGGTGAGGAAAAGGGAGGAATGAAAGATGATCTGTTGTAACTTTTCAATAGTTCTAATATGTTAACCCACAGAACAAATAACTAGACAGAATTTAGAAATATAAGAATTGTTTCCAATAAGATTCCAGGCAATTTAGAACAATTTAGAAACTGCAAAGAGGCAATGCTAAATAACTACAGGTAATTTGCTAGCTCCCAGTGTATTCAGAATCAGATTGACATTGCCTAGCAGGAATGATTTATGGCTAATTAAATTACTCCTGGCATGGGAATGGACTGCCTGAGTCAATACAAGAACTAGCCCTTTGTCTCAAATAATGCATCTAGAATTATAATCTGATGTTGTGTTCTTTTACAAGGATTGTGTCTTTTCCTCCTCTCTCAGCAGGATGCCATTCATATTTTAATCCAGGAGTAAAAACATTCTGCAAAGATCAAGAGTTAGGCTCGGTGCAGATCAAAAATAAATCGTTGTAGTGAGACTTATATGTTTGTTGTATAAGTCAAAGTAATTTGGCACAGATCACATTAACAAATTTTGTAATGAAGAAACTGATTTCCCAAGATATATTGTGGTATGGACATTCAACAGTTACTGCACACATGAAGAAGTATAGTTGGATTTCTAATGCGGGGAACTCCATTGGAACAATCAATGAAAGGACAGGGAAGATTTGCAGAGAATGAGTATTCTGCTTTTACTACTCTAATAGATTTAACCCCATGAGAACAAAGGGATTGCTCTTTAGGATTCACTAAAGCAGTGGTAAAAATGTGGTCCAGGACTGGTCTAGGGATGAAAGGATACTGTTAGTACTTGAGTTACAACCAGTGGCTGTTTGAAATTATGACAGTGCTAAATGACTGGTACTGATGTTTGATCCTCAAAGTTATAGCTGTTGCAGCATCCCCCTGTGTCCACCTGATCAAAATTCAAGTAGTTGGCAGCCTTGTCCCAGCTTGACCTTCACCATTTGCTTGCTCCTGCTGCTGACCAACCATGCTTGGCCTGGCTCTTCAAGTGGCAGTTTCTGAGCTGAGGCATCTGGGCAGTGGTGGGATTCAATTTTTTTAACAACCGGTTCTGGGGCGTGGCTTAGTTGGGGGTGTAGCTTGGTGGTCATGTGACTGGGTGGGCGTGGCTATGTGCATAGGGACTACTTAGAGGGCTGAAAAAAGTCATTTCTGACTGGTCCTCGCACTTTTGACCGGTCCTCGCACTTATGACCATCCTCATATTTATGCCCGTTGCGGCATTCTTAACAACCGTGTCAGTCATTTCACCACTACTTCTCTTCATGACGGTGACAAGATAGGGCGCAAAACGTAAAATGTGAGGACAGTCGTAAGTTCAAGGACTGGTCAAAAGTGTGAGGACCGGTCAAAAATAACTTTTTCAACCCTCTGAGTAGTCCATATGCACATAGGGACTACCTAGAGGGCTGAAAAAAGTGATTCCTGACAGGTACTCGCACTTTTGACAGGTCATCATTTATGCCCATTGCAGCATTCTTAATTTTTTTTTTTTTAAATTTGATTTATAGGCCGCCCTTCTCCGGAGACTCAGGGCAGCTTACAATGCGTTAAGCAATAGCCTTCATACTTTTGTATATTTATACAAAGTCAGCTTATTGCCCCCATAATCTGGGTCCTCATTTTACCTACCTTAGAAAGGATGGAAGGCTGAGTCAACCAATTAAATTAATTAAATAAAAATGACCTGCTGGAGTGGTCGGAGGCAGTCCGAGGAGGGCATTCGGGCCGGCTTCAGGGCAAGGTGATACAACCGGGGTAGGTAGGCCGCTGCTGCCCAGGTGGGAGGTGGGCGCAGGCCTACAGGGTGAAGCGATCGGATGGGCTAGGTCAGGGGTCTGCAACTTTAAACACTCAACCTTAAACACATGTAACCACTTAAACACAACCTTAAACCTGGGTGGGCATTGCCAACTCCATATCATTTACTCCCAATCCAGGTTTTGTGGCTCCCAGTATTTTCTTTTAAACAGGTATCTCCGTGTGTCTCTTTTATCTCTCTCATCTCTTTTTTTCTCCCCCCCCCTTTCTCTCCTTCATCTCTCTATCTCTCCATCTCTTTCTCCTCTCCTGTCTGGGGAGTGGCGGCAGCGCACCTACCGCACCATCAGGTTGCCCCTCGGCTTGGAAGTGGCACCTTAAGCCTGCACCCCACTGCGCATGCGTCCACCTGGCTGCGCCTGCAGCTGGCTCTTGTTGCTCTTACTGAGCTTCGCAATGGGGCAGACGGCACCCCTCCTCCTCCTGGAGCCCATTACAATGTGGAGCTTTGGCTGCAGCCTGGGCAGCCAGTGTTCCAGGGCGGAGAAAGGTCACGTGTCTCCCCCAGTGACTGGATGGGCTAGGGCAGAGGTGGGCAATTGTGACTCTTTTACAACCTGTGGACTTCAACTCCCAGAATTCCTGAGAAAGCCAAGCTGTCTCAGGAATTCTGGGAATTGAAGTCCACAGGTTGTAAAAGAGCCACAATTGCCCACCCCTGGGCTGGCGCGGCATGGGGGGAGGCGGGGGGAGGCGAGGGGCGAGGGGCGGGTGAGCCAGCAATTTAACAAATGGTTCGGTGTGCTGCGAGGCCAATAAATTACAAAAAAAACAGAGAACCGTTTGTTAAATTACTGGCTCGCCCACCCCTTGCCTCGCCCCGCCCTGCCCCACCCCCACTATTTATTGGCAAGGGCAGGGCGAGCCAGCAATTTAACAAACAGTTCAGCCAAACCTCCTAGAACTGGTGAATCCCACCACTGCATCTGGGGCTCCTGGAGGCAGTGGGGGCTTTTGCCACAGCGATGGGCTGAAGCTGCTATGTATTGTGGCTCAGGTGCTTCTGCAGCCCCAGAACTGTGGCATGCCAAGAAGCCCCTGACCTATAGCACACCAACAGCCTGAGCATCATATACCATCTTTCCCTGAAAATAAGACCCAATCTTATATTTTTTGGGGTCCAAAATAAGCACTAGGGTTTATTTTCAGGGAAACATGATTTCAAAGTGATCAGCCCGGCTGGACCCCCCACCCCCCTGGTGTGTGCACAAGAGGCAGCAAGAGCAAAGGGACCAACGGTATTCAGCAGTAGCTACAGCCTGCCGGTCCCTTGGTTGGCGCACTCTGGGGGTGTGTAGCCTGCGCAGTGCAAATAAATTGATTCCTTGCCCAAGCAGCAGATGAAGGCAGAGGCATGGGGGAGGGCAGGCGATCCATATGCACCACATGGGACATGGGAAAGCTGAGAGTCGGTGGGCCAGAATGAGTGGGCTGCAGTCGGAGGCTCGTCTTCATGGGGTGGCACTGGCAGTAGACAGAGGAAGAGGTGTGGGGTGGAGTGGAGTGGAAGGCAGGTGATCCCAAGATGCAGCATGGGCTTCAGGCAAGCTGAGAGACATGAAGATGAGCCTCCCATGGCCACCAGCCCACTCTGACCCACCAATTCTCAGCTTTCCCATGGCGCACATGGTGTGTCTGGATTGCTTGCCTCCCTCCTGCATCTCTGACTCCATCTGCTGCTTGGACAGGTAATCAACACAACTGTGCGGGCTGTGGCTGCTGTGGGACACTGTTGGCCTGCATGCACTTACTGTATCCTGTGCTGGCCACACCCAACCTCACTAGGACTTATTTTGGGGGTAGGGTTTATATTAGATGCAAACTTTAAAAATCAGATTAGGGCTTATTCTCAGGGTAGGTCTTATTTTGGGTGGTTCTGGGGCTGCTTGCTGCTCTGAAAAGCAGGGTGCAGGGCAACCAAAAGGGTGGAGAAAGGGGAAGAACAGGCAATTGAAGGGAGTTGAAGAGGAGGCAGTCCATTATTTTGGAAGAACTAAGATTGAAGGCTGGGAGTGACCAAGCTGGGGGATGGCTTGGATCAGAATGGGTCCTTGGCTAATGACCAATGGAATTTGGTTATTGATGGTGATGGAGAGTGCCAGGATTGCCATTACTAAGCAATTCAATCACATGATGTCACCCTTTAGAGCCACATTGCTTAGTGATGGAAATTCTGGTCCCAATTGCTGCAACAATTTGAGGACTATGTATACTTAGGAAGATTCAGCTTTGACTTTTGGACCAACCACCTTTTTTGCTTAGATACTATCATGACCAATTTATATTTAGAAGATGGAGTTATATGAAAGTAATCGGCCTGAGGGGATTCAGTTGGAATAGGGGGGGGGAGCAGTTTTGCCTCCAATTAAAGATGATTGAGTTTTTGTAGGTTGGGTATTTTGAGTGTGAGGGATTACAGTTGCCATCTCAACCTTTTTTGCCATTAGAGTTTTGTTTGCAAACACTAAGGTTGTTTTAGCATTTGAATGAGATTAGGCTAATACACTATTCTAAAACTCACAGCCTCCAATCAAGTATAGCTATAGTTGTTGGTTCACTTAGGAACAACAGTCTACTCTGCAAAGACACCTGCTTAGCTCTGTTTTCTGATTCTCAGCTTGGAGACAGAGAGATGGCAGTGTGGGATCTAAATTGAAGGATCCATGCCTGCCAAGACTTCAAAGCTAGCTTTGGCTCCTTAAACGGGGGTCTCATCAAACTTCATTCTTACAGAAGTGTAATCCTCTTTGAGAGGGAATATATCTAAAGGGCTATACATGGCTAAGCTAGAATAATTCCCCATTCTATTTTATCTAAAAATATGCAAGTTTTCTACGGAGGAGCATTCAATATGTGAGGTTCAGTTGTATGAAGTAGGACTATTCACAATTTGAAAATTATTGGAAGAAGTGCTTTGATCTTGTAAAAGCACATCAGCCCCTTTTTAGGCTTCACAAGAAGCTGGGAAAGGATGCAACTACTTTAAAGATCACTTTTAAAATGTACTGTCTGATTAAAGTCATTAAAATAACAGTATATTTTTTTATTTTTTTCAGTTTAGACATTCATGTTTTATTAAGAGAAGAGAGCTGCTGTCCTTCTGTGAGATCCAAAACCTGGGTTCTGAATGATTTTTAAATTACAGTATGCAATGTAATACTGTAATAGTGTTAAGTGCAGACCAGACACAGACTTACTGTATAACAATGAAAACTAGTTTTATTTTGCCTATTATAATTTCAGATAACCTATATCCTTGAAGGGACAAACAGGGCACAAAATAAGAAAGTTTCAAGCACAATTATGACATTTAGATGAGCAAAGGAAATGTTCCTCATCACAGCAGCAATATTCAGCAATATATTACCCATCATTATGATTTTTTTACATACTAGGTCTTCGACGAACTGGTTTTGGTTTTCTGAAAGGTATTGCCTGAAAATGAAAGCAAACACTTATGTAATAGTCCATTATATCTTTTTTAAAAAAATAAAAAACCTTTTCTTTGGCGTACTGCTTAAAAATGAAATTATCTTGTTTATAACAATTTCTAGGATACAACTGGATACAATTGATATTAACTTTTGTGAATACTAACAAAAGGAGTATTTAATTATTAAAGTTGTAATGAATGAAATATTTCAGAAAGACTTCAGTAATCCTGAAGTTAACAGGCAGAGATATAAACTCTGAGTATTTTTCCTATGGAGTCATCATTAAGAACACTTCGAGACAATTTCTGGTTTCACTGTACTATCTTTCCTGTATTGCATTATACTGTTTCTCATTGTGCTCACCTCCCAACCATTTTTACATTCCCAGCAGACTTTCATTATCAATTTGTTGTGGCTTTTTCCCAGGCAGTCAATATGAGTTGTGAGGAAATGGAAATAATATGGAAACCCACTTTCAGGCTGTCATGGGAGTCTAACTAATTGGTGGTCATTTCTTCTCCTTCCCTGTATTTATTCCTTTCCATTTCTCAAAATCTAACAGATGAGCAGTAGCACAGTTTTTATAGCCAACAATGTTGCCTTCCTGCAATACTGCTTGCATCTTTGTCCTACAGAACATTGCTACCCTTAGATGGACATATGTTCAAAGCAGGAAAGACTACTAAGGATCCAGAGTGCCTCATTTGGCAGATCTGCAGGTTTTTAGATGCAGAGTTGGTTGGTTGGTTACAGGCACCACCAAACCTTTCATTATACAAAAATGATGTTGATGTTCTTAATTCAGCTGTCCTCTGAGAGCTGCTATGCTTCTAGAAGCAGCATCAACCAATAGAAGGAGTTCATCATGGGCAGTGAGGTGTTGAGAAGTAGACCTTTAATTCTCTTTATATATCACATATAACTTCCACCTGTTGAAGTGACTAATAATCTTATGCCAACTAATCCTAATTGAAAAGCAAGCTACTATTATTCTTTAGGCTTTGTCAACAATGTTCCATTTCCTCAAAGTTGCCATCAATTTGATGTTGAAAACTACTGTGGGAACAATTAAAGATATGCTTCACAAAACAAAACAAAAGCAAACAACTTCAGCTCAAGATAGTTTTCTTGGGAGATTTCCATATGATGAGTTTCCTATGTGCAACCTGTGGACCTGAAAGGAAAGAATGGCATTGGGCAACTCTTAACTTCCTTTCCTTGTCTGATGTGACCTTGGAATAGAACTGAGACCTATTTCTGGTCTGCTTTGGCATTACTGAATCATGACTTTCAAACACAGCAGATGATGTGACACTGTTACTATGAATTCTCACAATTCCCCATTTTCCCCCTTGTAGCACCAAGTAAGGAACTGTGGTGGAAAAATCATGTGTTATCTTTTTATTTTCTATTTCCTTTACTCATTTAGCTTCTTTATTTATGAAGCTGTTTGTTGATAATCTAGACAGATGAAAAATGAACCACAGGTAGATTTTAATAATTGCAGAAATGTGTAGGAAGTCCCTGACACTGAATGCCCATTGCAGTTGCTTGATAATACAACTGCCAGTTGCTGAAGAACAATAATAAATGCTTGTGCAATATTACACAATATTTGTGAGACAAAAGGATTTGTATTATGAATTAATCTTCCAATGCAACAATGCTTTCATATTCATTGAAAGGAACATGTGTCTAAGTTAAAGCATGACAGCCACGGGGTAGAGAGGAATTGTAGTGTAATTGCTGATTTTCTCTTAAATACTCTAAGATACCTTTTGTATTCTTTTCTTCTCACTTTAGTTTCCCGTATAGAAATAGCTTCTCTTCCTGCCCTTAAACCCACTGTTATCAAAGTCTCACAAGGGACAATGGATATTCATTTGAAGCTCTGTCTCATTTTATTTATGCATATGCAATTATGGACTAATTGTGGTAGTTAACAAGGTAGCTGAACAGAAAAAGAATTTTCATCTGTTCCATTAATGTCTTCTGAAACTCCACATTGAAATTAGCACTTCTAGTATTTGCATGTGTGATATGGTTAGCTAGAGCATATTCCACTAATCTTACATTTGGGATAACTGAATGCAGGTTTGGATAGGAGAATTCATGTCAGTTCTGGTTTGTAGCTAAACAGATTACCAATGGCATACAGTCCATCCTTCACCTGCCCACTCCCTCTTCCCATTTCCTCTTCTTAATATTAGGCATGCTTATAAATGACTCCCAATTCTGAATACTAAATGATTCATTATTCATGTGGTGTTGGCTGGAATATGGATTACAAGTTTGGAACAATGTATTTAGACAGTTCTTGATATAAACGAAAGGCTGGAAAGTTATCACAAGATCAGTTCAGTCATCCGGATGTTAAATTTAAAGTCATGCCAAAACAATTTGATCAGTGCTCTGTCTAGGGATGGGTTTAATGGTAATCTTACAAATTGACTTGTGATGAGTATTGATTTCTTCCCATTCTGCCAGACTTCTTTCTACTATCACCCCTCCCCCCCCACCCTTTTTGTTACTGTGTGTTTTTTCTAGCTGAAGGCTGAGGACAGCAGCATAATAACCAGTTAGCTTGGTCCTGTTCTCTCTCCCTCTCCCTCTCCCTGATCCTTCACAATCTTGCTAACTCTCCTCTGAATCTTCTTCCAGTTTCTCCATATTCTTTTAAAGTGTAGCACTCAGAACTGAACACAGTTATTCTAGATTAAATATATATATATATTATTTTTAAAACAAAAAAAAATCATAAAACACATCTTTTCAAAATGAAGCTTTTGCTCCGATCACAAATTAAAACAAATCATTAACGAATCTTATTTTCAATTAACACAACTCAATATTTTAAACAAATATTTCCCGCAAATCTATCTATATAACTATGCCATTATCCCCCAAAACTCGTTACTTAAATCTTAAATCCTAACCAGTTATCAATTCATTTTTCTCTTTCATTTGTTTAGATGGATATTTTAACAATATAAATCATACAATTATATTAAACAGATTAAACATTCATTAATTATTTAATTATTATTAAACCTAACTTATGCATTTTATCTTAACTATCACTCTCAACATACACCTCCTCATTTTAATTATCCCACCTCTTTTTATTATCTTTGATGTTAAACCAATCATTTCTATATCTTGACTGTTAATTACAGCATAACCCTTTGTTTTGGCTGTTGAATATAGCGTATTTTTATTTTTTAGCCATTACCCAGCATGCCCTTTGTTTGGCTGTTAAACACAGCATATTAAGTTTGTTTTTTGGCCGTTACAAGCATCTTCAGGTTTGTTTGGCTGTTGAACACAGCATCTCTATTTTTGTTTTTTGGCCGTTACACGGCATATTAAGTTTTGTTTTGGCTGATACCCAGCATGACCATTTGTTTGGCTGTTCAATACAGCATATTATAGCTTTTTGACTGTTAAATACAGCATGTTCATAGTTGGTTTAACAATCTCTACTTAAACCTTTCTTTGTTGTTTCCCTACATCTATGCATTGCTTTTCATTTAATCATATTTTTCTTTATCCTTTTTCATAGCATTCATAACATTTTAACCTTGAGACATAGTTCTTGCTTAAAACATATTTTTAAGTATATTTTTAAATTCCTTTTAGCATTTTCAATTAATCATATTCACCCTTATTCTTTACCTTAACATTTTACCATTAAAACATAGTTCTTGCATTAAACATATCTTTACATGTATTAATTAGTTTCATTTAACATTCTTAATTTCTATAAAAGCCTCCCTTTAATTTATTACAATCATCCTTACTTTATTTTATTTTTAATCACATTATCTTCATTTCCTTATCTGCAAACATAAATTTCCTTCCATTTTCCAAGTTTTTAATTTTATTCTCCATAAATCCAATTAAATCTCTTTTCATATTTTTATTCCGGATATAATGTATCAAATCTCTTTCTTTTAAGGCTGCGCTTAATCCCTCTTCTATTCCTGTGCCAACATTCAAATTATTATTTGTTCAACTGTAGGAGTTCCATTGTAGATTCCTTTTCTTTTCACCAAAGTCCAGCTGCTTGCAGTCAGGAAAGAAAAATCCTCCTCCACAGTTCAGCAATTTTTTTTTTCTGTAGAGCTCAAAGTTCTCATAACAAAGGGGGATTACAAAATTCCTCTGTACACTCTATAATCCACATTTCCCATTAGTCATGCAAGACCCCATTTTATTTCTTATTATATAATCATTCACTTTATTTTCTTCTTTTAGTTAAAAAAGTATCAAATCTTCTTTTTTTCCCCTCCTTAGTCCAATTCAAATTTTTAAAGTGTTTAGTCTATTTATTTATTTATTTATTTATTTATTTTTTATTTTTTTATTTTTTTATTTTAAAATTTATATACCGCCCTTCTCCCTGAGGACTCAGGGCGGTGTACAGCCAGAATTAAAAAAGATGAAATACAAATATTAAAAACAATTAAAATATATATAAATTTGGCCCAAAATTAAAAATACAAACCAGTTAAAACATTTAAAATTTCTTCTTAAGCCAGCCCAGCTTGCTGGAAAAAGTGGGTTTTAAGGGCACGGCGGAAGGCGGAGGTCTTGGATTCTCCTTATCTCTGGGGGCAACTGATTCCAGAGGGTAGGTGCCCCCACAGAGAAGGCCCTCCCCCTGGGAGTCACCAGCCTACATTGATTGGCTGATGGCACCCTGAGGAGGCCCTCTCTGTGGGAGTGCACGGGATGATGGGAGGTTGTCGGTAGCAGCAGGCGGTCTCGAAGATAGCTAGGCCCGATGCCATGGAGCGCTTTAAAGGTGATAACCAACACCTTGAAGCGCACCCGGAAGACCACTGGAAGCCATGCAGCTCGCGCAGGAGCGGTGTTACATGGGAGCGCCATGCTGCTCCCATCACTACCCGCGCTGCTGCATTCTGGACCAGTTGGAGCCTCCGGGTGCTCTTCAAGGGGAGCCCCATGTAGAGAGCGTTGCAGTAGTCAAGGCGAGAG